TCCCTGGCAATCATGACTAGGTAGTCTCTCGGCTGTGTGTACTTCTTCCAAAGCGCGAAGCCCTCACCTAACCAATCAAAGCCGGACAAACCCGCCTGCCTGTGTATGAAGACTGTGACCTCCTTGTTGCGCCGATCGGCGCCCGTTGTCTTGGTGCGTCCAAGCGTAGCTCTGAAGCCCTGTGCAGTAAGCCGCATGGTAGCCGGCAGCATCCCTTGCAAGTCGTCCATTCTCATGGAACCATACACAGCCAGCAGCGCAACGAATGCCATTGCCCGTATATACTCAGGCTCATCCTCCCTCGCAATGTGCAGCTCAAGTGAAATGATCATAGCTACCGTCATCATTGGTGCTTGCTGTACGGGCGCTTGCTCACCCACCAAATCTGCAGTCAACGACTTCAAGTGTGCCAGCCAAGTTGTATCGCTCGACAGCCGCTGTGTCTCAGCGACCTTTCCCACTTGCTCCAAGACAGCCAGCGACGCCTGGAAACTGTTCAGCACTGTCTTGCCACACTCACTTTGAAATCTCTCATTGCTATAATCAATCAGCTGCCGCACGCTAGTCGGCCATTGCACCTCGTAGACGCACTGCAGCCACGTCCTGAAGGGTTGCCAAGCCTTCAAGCGGTTTCGCAGCGTTTTGCTCCTGCGGGTTCCAAATATCCGTGGCCAAACTTCCTCAGGCTGGTCCACTCCCTCCAGCTGTTGCACCAGCGGCAACTTCGCTTCCTTAAGTATCCCGGCCAATTGTAAGGCATACTTCTTCTTTGCCAGCTGTTCCTCCTTTGCGCGCTGTGTAGCGTCTGTATTTTCTCTAAGCAAGCGCCTCTTCCGCTGCAGCGCCGGCAGCAGGACAAGTGGGTTGCTCCTTGCCAGCTCATCAAATGTGTCCGTCAGCTTCGGCACCACACGTTGCTGTGGTAGCACTTCCCACATACCATGCAATGACTCCCTTCGCTGCCGCTTGATTGCTGATTCATTTTCCTGTGCCCATGCCACAAGAACGTCAGCTCTCTGATATTTCCCATCTCTGTTGATGCCTGGCAAGAACACCTCTATTAGTTCAGCCGCCTCCTCGCGACCATCAAAGGCTGCGTGCAATTGCCTGGGGTTCGCGAATGCCCCTTTAAGGAGTGCAAGCTCCTGCCCTTGCAGCTCCGGCCATGACATCTACGTCCGAATGGAGCCTTTGCCCCACCCTACCAAAAACTAAAACTGAGCCTAAACATCACGAAAAGATGGATTCTCACTGAAAACTGAAAAGGAGCTGAAACATACTGAGAAACTGAGGACTAAAAGCGAGTACTTGAAAACTCAAAACTAAATCATCTTTTCCCGCCCGGCCGCCCAAAATTCGAAGGTTTCAACAGTTCAACTGGGCTAGCCCAGTAAAGCAAGTCGACTCGCACGCCCAGCACGTCGAAGACTTCGCTGAAGTCGGCGTTCTTCTTGGGCTCTGTGGCCACTTGCCAGCCTAGCTTGTTAAAGAGGTTGGTCACTGCCAAGGTGACGAGCTTCGCGTGCGCGCTGCGCGTGAGAACCGTGAAATCATCGAAGAAGCTCGTCATCACCAGAGCAAGCTTCTCGTGGCCGATGGCTTTCAGCGCTTCGCTGCAGCGAAGGAAAGCGTGCACGGCGGCCACTGCGCCGAAAGGCATGCTATGCAGGTGGGCGATTTTAACCTTCCCACTCTGTGGGTCCACCATTACGACGCACGCAAATTTCTTGTGTGCAGCCTGCACTGCAAGCTGCTTGTAGGCACTTTTAAGATCCCAGGTCCTACCTACGATGCGGTGAGCCTGCTCTGCAGGCACACCCTGGCGCAGCCACTCCAGGCACACGGCCAGGAGCTCGTCGATGCTGTCGACTTGAACCTTCTCTGTGGTGCCGCAGCAGCTGTTGATAAAGCTGCTTTTGAAGTTATCTATAGGGCGCACTTTGCCCTTTTGGACAACACCAAAACGAGACGATACTATCGTCTCGTGCAGTTTGCAGTTTGGCTGGCGAGAAGTCTTCCAAAGACAGCCAGCCCTGCTGGCTTTCCTCTATTGTACTCTCCCAGACCTTGTCCGAGACCCCATCCTGCGAAGGGCGAAGCGCGCTGCGAACGCCGCGCATACCTATACTATGGGCGTTTTGCAGAATAGATTCTCATCTAGAGAAGGGGGCAGAATCTGCACCGGCCACAGCCCACTGGGCTGTATCCAGCCAAGAAGGGGAAAACCTTCACGCACCTGCTTGGCAACCGACTTGTCTGGGAAGTCGATGTCACTCAGAAGCTTTTCTAAAGCCACTGTTTGCTTAGGCTTGGTGACGCTGTTCACTTGAGCGTCAATCGAGGAGCGCGCCTCTGCCTCGAGGGCTTGGCACTCTGCGCAAGTCTTCGAAATCTGCATCGATGCCAGTGTGCGGCGCTTGGCCAGCAGGACAGTGTCCTGATGTACTTCGGCTGAAATGGCGCGCTTAAGTGATAAAGGCACTGCCTCAATGTCCCTGGCTGGGTGCATGATCTATGAGATGCGCTCTGCGCACCCAGTGCAGTGGCTGCAGCGGGATGGCGATGATTGCTTTTTCAGTGGCTTCGATCCACTGGATGAGCCTAGAGCCTTTTGGGAAGCAAGACCACGACTGTGGTAGCTTCTGCGGGGTCTTCCAGCCTCGAAAGCACCGCGCTGCGGGGCCTTGAAGAGTGACTTTGTCACTGAAGTCTGGCTCGTAACGCAGGCGTCGCAAACGCTTGCGGCTGAGTGGCGCCGCTTGAAGTTCTGCTGCGCATTTGTCTGCTGCCAGGGAGACCCATACTGAACTCAGCTGAGTGGTGTAAGCGCTTTCTAACGAAGTGGAAAACACTGTGGACCCATCCACTGAGGCTCTGCCCCAAGGCAGGTGCTTGTGGCCTCCGTCACAGTCCCTGCTTAAACCCGAGAACCAATCTAGGTTCGAAAGGATGGCAGTAAGCTTGCGGCGCATGCTGCCAAACATGCAAGCGTCGAACTCCACTCTGTGGGCTGATCGCAAGGCCTCTCTGAGGCAGGGCATCCTCCAGAGGAGACTACGAGCTGGGTTTTCAATGGACCAGCAAACGCCTCGCTGAGACAGGGAGTGGCAACACTGTGCCATGAAGGCGACGAGGCTGTTCGCGCTGCGAACTCGTGCCGCGTCTGCACCTCGCAGGCCTTTCAGGCCCGCTGGGCGGGATTCGCTGCGTAGAGGGCCCGGCGCTCCCGGCCTGGGGATCTCTCTTGCTCTGCTAAAGGTGACTTTGACTTTGAAACGCAGACAAGTCCAGTGTCTCGCGTGGCACATTCAAGTAGACACTTGCTACTCGGCTGCTCATCGCAGCAGTGCAGAGAGGAACTAGCGGAATCTACTCGTTCGTAAGCAGCAGAAGCTTATCTGCAGGCAAACTACAGTCAAAAAGCGAAGCTACACAGCGACCTATAGCCTATCCCGGTCCGCATGGCCACATGCCGCAAAGCCTGGCATGCGTAAAGGCCTCACAGCTACCCCGGTGCACATGGCCACACGCCGTAAACCCTGGCATGCGTAAAGGCCTCACAGCATGAGCAAAGATTGCAGGCATCATCACTGCATAATGAAGGATCCGAGGATACAGCGGTTGCACCAAAATCCCGGAGCCAGAATCAAGTAGTGCACACAAAAACGCAATCAGTCAGGTCCCGGAATAGGCTCCAGTGATGAGCGTGAGCCTCCCAGCATACATAAGCATCGCAGTCATCAAATGTCGGGATCAATCAGAACCGTAGGTAAAGCAGGAGGAGATTGTATGTGCGGCCCTGTGTGTTCAGGTAGGCGGAAGCCCATAGTAGCAATCGATCGTTGCATGGCCGGCGACAAGTGAGGCCAATTCCGAACAGTATATGCCACAATAGTGTACCGATCAAAGTGCCCCCATTCCTGCGTAGCATGCCATGAGGAATGAGCAGGAAAGAGAAGAAACTGATCTTGCAACTGAAAGAAGCAACCACCACACATGCCGTCCTGAACCTCCTGAAAATGTGTACCGCCCGCCTGCTCGATCCACATACCACCCAGGTCAGTGCTACTCACCATGGAAAGAAGGCTCATGCTCGCACCATTGGCAGAATCCCTGTGAACAGGCGCGGAGTGGTTCTTGTGAACCGCAATCGTCGTCCACGTGAAGGAACCACACAAATGCTCCACATAGGCACATAGAAGTCTGCAAACATTGGAATGCGTGAAGGTGGACTTGCAAAGTCCCACCAATTGATGACGAGCATAGATTCCCACAGTAAAGCTCCGTGCGTTGGTCCGAGCTGCCATGGCCTTATGACGCGGCATCTCAAAGGGCAAGTGGTGTATTACCTGCCTCACAGCCTCCCAAATGGAGGATGTGCCCACCTCCAGAAAGTAAGCTGCCAAAATCTCCGCCTTGCTATGACCGGCCCCTGTAAGCGCAATGGACTGTGGCAGCACACAACCTGGGTAACTGGGGAGCACCTCACTGAGCTGATTCACATACCGAATGAAGCACCCATAAAGCTCGTCAGACAAAACTGTACGCGCATAGTAAATCAGATCATTCCGGCTGCACAAACTGCTGGAGGGAAGCATGCAACCAGTCGTCCTGACATCCAGATTCCTCAGACAGGCGAGAAGCAAGTAGCTTTCGAGGGCATCAACGTACACATCAGCTGGAAATGGGCACTCCACCGCCATAACACAACCAACGCGGAGTGCACCTCTCCAGTAGTGCAGAACAGTGCTGGCGGTAGACCTGAGCAGTTCATGTGACAGATCCAGTCGCATTACCACAAGCAAAGGACATTACGGAACAGCACTGGTATGCGGGAGGCGGAAGCACAACACGAGGTGGCATTATTTTGCAATGCCATGCAAACGGTTGTGACGGGGTTGCAACCATCTGTACAGAAGCTCCGAAAGCGGGAGGATTTACTTTCCCCATTCCATGCCATAAAGCCCTGTCCGGCTGGCGCGCGTAGAAAGCATAGCAGCTCAGCGTAGTTCCATAGACGAGGAGGAGCTTGTGTCAGGAGCTCCGGTATCAGGCACCGCTGATGGCGCTGCAGGCAAAGGCACCTTGTCGTGAACCCGCATGGCATTCCTCTCCCGGACCTCGGCCCTGCGAGCCATCGTCCCTCGTAGATATGCACCAAAGGCTTGCTTTTGCTCTGCACTGGCCAAACTGGTATCCCGAGCCACCAAAGCCCGTCCAATTGAGCCTTTTGGCACACTAGCCGAGGAGGAGGTAGGCCCCTGAGCCGCCGCCGAAACATCGCCAGCCGCTACACCGGCGGCTTGCAAAGTCTTGGCCCTTTGTACCACTGCTTGCCGACGACTCTTGGCGGAGGTCTGCAACTGCTGTAAGAAGGCCACGTTTTTGGCCATTTGTTCTGATTGTGTAGTTGCAATACTGGCATCAGCAGGAACCTCAGCAGCAGGAGGGGAGCCATGGGCAGGTGTAGCCACGGTAGCATCAGAAGCAGGAGGACGCCCAGGAGGGCGGCCGTCTACGATTGGCGGATCATAGAGACGAAATGATCCAAGCGCAGCCTCCTCTCGATTCAATTGGTACACATGTTCCCTCATGTCCGAGAGTGGCACCTGCTCCTTCGTTGCACGCTGGAGCAACTTTGCCAAGTAGTTGACCGCGTGGATGCAAAGCGCATCCTGACGAATGCAGTCCTTGACCTGCTCTACGTACGCCGCAATGGCCGGGGCGAGATCCGGCGCCTGCTCGACCTTGAGCAGTTGTCTGCTCACCACCGTAGCAGCTCTGCCCTGAAACTCGCGACGTGCCTGTTGTAGCCGCAATTCCTGAGCCGTAGTCAAAGCAGATGTAGCGGTAGTTGACGAAGTAGCAGTGGCCGATCCGGTCGTGGTAGAAGCCTTGGCATCTTGCGAGTTGGCCGCCACACCACTTCGACTGCTTGTGGCTGCACTCCGGCGTCGGTCCTCATTCCGCCGTCTGGTAGCCGAAAGTGATCGAGAGCGAGATGCTTTCTCCCGTGTCGGGGTGACCGAATCCCGCCGTGCCATAAGTTGACCATATCGACCATCCGCTGACAAAAGGCGGATGTAACGATCGGGGTCTGGATTCGCCAGTGAGTCACTGGAGTCAGCCCGAGCCGACCTTTTCCGACGTTTCCGGTCGGTGCGCTTCCTTTGGCCACCCTTGGTCTCAACAGCAAGAGCCAAAGTTTGGCGACCTCCAGCATGTTCCTGAGCCACAGTGGTCGGTTGTCCCGCAGAGGTGACCGGCACATCATTTGCTCCATCCGTTGAAGTCACCATTGCCCGTTGTGAACCTGTTGTCATAGGTACATGACCAGCGGTGTCCAAAACAGCCCGGGTATCCCGTCCAGCCCCGTCAATAGCATCAGCCCTGTCTGGAGCTCGGTCATTTCCATCGGCTGATAAGCAAACTCTAGCGGCAGAGGGCATACCATCAGGGCCGGAGTCCTCAGAACGCATAGGTTCACCTGCTTGAGTGGTCCGTGTCGGCCGGACTCCAAGACCAGCACCTAACCCAGCGTCCAAACCGGGACTGGAAGAGCCTCCGGCAGACGCGCCAGCATCCAGAGGTGCACCAGGTCTGCGTCGCGGCAGTGGAGACCATTGGGGCCGAATACGACCCAATGCAGGACGGTCCGTCTCAGGGTCAGCTTCCCGCCGTACTGGCCTGCGCCGCGGTAGAGGTGGTCGTCTATCACCAGGCATTGGCTCTTCGGGGCAGGCCGGTGACCAGAGAGGCTCCATAGCGAAGGCAAAGAACAAGGCAGCACGTTGCCGCCTTATAAGTCAAACGAAGAGCCCACTGAAAGGAAGCCTTAATTGCATGCCTGAAGAACCGCTGCAAAGAAGCAAGACTGTCGGATGGAACCAAATGAACAATGACATGCTGTGAGCATCTGCCGTCAGATAGGTACAAGCAGAGCGGGTCGCAGGCTGGGCAGAATGCAATCGCTCGTATGGACATAAATGCATGCAACTGTTGCAGGGTGTATCTGCGAGCTGCACAGCAAATCAAGGCGCAGGCTGTAAGGGCGTGGGTCCACGTCCACAATATGCAGAGCACACTGCAGTGGCACACCTGACAATACACCATCCATTGAGTCCACTTCCAAGCTGTGAAGTAGCCTGTGAAGCGTGCCAGGAGCCGGACGTATAGCAAGAGGGCGTAGAGCCACGTACACCAGCAGTATGGGGAGCACTGTAGAGCATGCCAGGAGCCAGACTTAGAGCCGGAGGCCTCTGCTCGCCCCCCCGCGAGGGAACAAGGCTGCAGCAGAAGCATCGTCACAACCAGAGCGAGTGAAAGAGCGAGGATTTTTTTTCATGGTGAGGACCATGAAATACACACCACAATCACGTATCTCGGGGGACCTCGGAAGAAATGGCGCACCTGGAAAGAAGCAGCACGTACACTTTCTCGAAGATTTTGTCCGCAGGAACAGCCAGCCGTGGCACGCGGTTATCATCACACACTCGCACAGCCCCTGCAGTGTGAGACACCAGTGCAGCACGATAGTGTCCTCGCACGGGCGTATCACCCTCGTGGAGAATCAGAGCTTGAATGAAGTAAGCATCCCATTGCGAATCCCCTGGACCAGTCGGCAGCAGAAGAGTGCCTGAATTCAGGAATAGAGGGTGCCGACGTTTGCGAACGAAAGTCCCACGCTGCTCAAAGCGATCAAGCTGTAGGAGAACAAAATCAGTGCCCGGCTGGACATAATGACTCTGGAGTTGCTGATGCCATCCCTGCACACATTGTTGCAATGTATCAAACGGCTGGACGGGGTTGCAAGTCGGAAGAAGAATGAGGCCATCGCCCTGATCGTTGCGAGGCGCGGCCTCAACCAGGGGACCTTCAGAGTACCACTTGCTGAGAACAGGTAACCCATAGGACTGCAGGATAAGATGCATCAAAAACTCCGCCACATCATGTTGCTGATGAGGTTGCTGCCATCCCGATATAAGAGTGCGCCATTCCTTCATTTTGGTAACATAGGACGGGCGAACACCGGGAGGCTTGAGAAGTTTGCTGAGCAAAGAGCGCAGAGGTGCGCCCAGACAATCCAGTCGGTCCCTGAACATATGCGCCAATGATAGAAGAACACTGTTGGCATAGCACATGTTGCCTCCATTGCCCAACATCGTCACAGGCGGCAAATCCGCGCAGAGGGAGGAGCGAGTCACATGTTGCGCAGCATTTCGTACAATTTGGTCTGCTGAGGCGAGGCCTTGGCGTGAACCTGTCGCATCCTGGCCCCAATCAATTCGAAGGGGCTGAGGCCTATCCATCGCACCAGCGTGGCATGAATCTGATCCTGCCGGAAACTCACATCCAGAAGGAACGGAACGGCCGCATTCGTGGTCTCGGGGGTAAGCTCCTGCAGGGCCTTGAACCTGGTGAGACCATCGCACTTCTGGATGTGAGCCAGAAAGTCCTCGACCCCCTGACAGAACTCCTGATGGGAAACAGGCTTGCTCATTGTGGTCTGATTCTCGCTTTTGGCCGGGTTCCATTGACGATATGTCCAACAGTCCTCCTTGAGAAGACCCAATCTTTGGGCCTCTGTCTTGGCTTCGGGTGTATTCATGGTCATATTCGCCCGAGCAACCAATTCCCGAAAGAGACATTCGAGGATCTCCATCTTCAGCGACATTGTTAGAGTTGTCGGAGCCTCTTTGGCCTTCAGCTTCCAAGCATCGCCCACCTGGCATAGGGCCCGCGTCACACTGCCGGGATGGGGCGGTGTCTGAAGCACAAGCAGGAACCCCGAGTCCAAGCAAATGCGGTTGGTCGCTTCCGCTTGCTGCAGTACCATCCGCCCCATGTGCTGGATCAGACTGCGCAAGTCCGAAGAGTCTTCTGAATCCCCCGATGGCTTCTGGTGGGAGGCAATGCCTCCCCTCCCGTACTTGCCGCGCCCCCCTTTGCCTTTGCCCTTCTGCGAGCCTTGGCGTGTTGTGTTCGTGGCTGGATCCTTCCGTTTGGTGGATGTTCTGTCCACGTCCATGCTGTTGCCGGTCTCCTGAGCCTGTTGAGCCTGGAGCGCCGGCATCAGGCCGAAAAGAGAGCGTAGTTGGCCGTCCGCGTCCGCCTGGCAAACAGAGTTCCAAAAGGGCAGCTTGCACCATGACCGTGCATTGCGCACCTCCGGCATGTTGACGATGATCCACTACTTTGATCCCGAAGATCTGACAAGGCGATTGGGCCGACTTGGCCCAGTGTTTGCACCAATGGAGCACCAGCGGATAGTGTGAATTCCAAAGCTCAGGGTGTGACTTCTGCCAATGGCGCTTCATCCCCTTTTTCTCTGCTATCCACTTCCCGCAGACTCCGCAGTAAGATTGAAGATTGGAGATGATTCCGGGCACACGGACTATGCTTTCCCAACGAGGAGGCCTAATACTCAAAACGGTGTCCCACTGGATTGCAGGTCGAAGAACGCTCGCCGAAACAAGAGCATCCTGCTTCCATGAACTGCAATCGGCGCCCTCAGAGGAGGGCTTGGCGTGGTTGGGCTCAGACTCGAAGGCCTGTGCGGGACCCGAGTCCCAAGGACCCGAAGAAGTAGAGGCTGCAACAGAACCCGTTGCCATCAACGAACCTTCTGTAGTCGGCTGTGCAGCATCGGCCACATCCAGAGCGGTGGCTGTGGCAGTCGCCTGAGACGGCCGTGGGCCAGAAACATCGGCGGCATCGTGCACTGGCGACACAGGCACCGGTTCCTCCCGAAGACCAGGACAGCGATTTTCCTCAATGTGTCTGCGAAGACCAGTCCAGCACGCAAAAGATGCGCGACAAAGCTTGCACGTAGGAAGACCGTTCAAAGAGTAGGAGACAATGTCAGCAACTACGCGCTTGGGAGCGAACTTTTTGTGCGCACGTCCCTCATGAGTCTTTACCTGATGCAAGGTAGTGAACTGCTGGCCGCAAACAGTGCAGGTTTATTGAGGAGTTTGAGGTGGCATGGAGACAAGCTTGGCCGGGACCGTCGTGGTACCCTCAGTCGCTGGCAGGACCGGCGGGTCGAACACCATCCCAGTCGGCACATCCTGCACACCGGCTTCCGGCGGGGGTTCCGATGTAACGCTGTCTCCCAGAGTCTTGGTCGCAAGCAGTCGCAGGTCGTCTCGTATACCCCGGAACCATCCCAGCAGGCCTGCATTGTCATAACAAGGAAGCGTGCTGAATTCAGGCTGCTCCAAACGGTGATAAATCCCATCCACCTGTTGCATCAACGTCTGCAAGGGAGCACAGAGTCCAAGCCTGTCCAAAAGAGAGCGATCGGATTCCTGGGTAAGGTGCCGCGGAGATTTTGCAAAGGCTCGAACATGCTTCATCGTCTGAATGCGCAACAGATTGTAGCCCGCTTCGGTGATACCTACCGCACTGAGGCCATAAAGTTGAGAGGTCTGAACACATACCAGCCAAATGCGTCTACGCTGTTCAAGCCGTAGCCCACCGCGGCCTTGTAGAGTACGAGCCAGTCGATTGCGATGTTGCTGGGCCTGTTGCAAGCGAAAGTGCATAGTCTCATCTTCAAAGGCGTGATATGAGAGCATGACGCCCAAATACCGAAAGGATCGCACGACTGGTACCTTCAAGCGACGGTGCAGGTCCCAAACAAACTGCCAATTGCCCTCTGCATCACGCATCCGATGTTTGCGAAGCCACGCATCCCCAATCGGTCCGCGTACCTCAAGGAAAGAAGACTTGGCCGGGTTGATCGTGAGACCATGTTCCTGTAGTACCTCAAAGATCAGACGCAAATCCTCAAGCACACGTCGACAGTCCTTCTGGGAATCCAGCTGCCACTTGAAGTGAAAGTCGTCTGCAAAAAGAGTCAAGTGATCATCATCCATTTTGCATCCCGATGCTCACTGAACTGGGCTCCTACGTAGCAGGTGAACAAAGTCCATAAACTGGGTGCAATGACACACCCCTGCTTCACGCCGCTGGTACAGTAAATGTCACGGCTGAGATCCGAACGATGCATATTTCCCAGTTCGTAGTGACTGCTCTCATGCCACGCCATGATAAGAGCAATGAGATCCGAGGGCACCTGGAAGTGCCGAAGGGCTGCCAGGAGAAGCTTGCGGGGGCAAGAGTCGAAAGCTCGGGACATGTCAACCGCCAACTGGCAACCTCCAGAGCATGGCAATCGGCGCACACCCGCAAACTTGTCGTGTAAAGTGAGAGATTGGCCTTTGACCGCAGCCCGCACAGCCGAACAATGTTGTGTGACCCTGCCAATGGCCTGCGCAGTACCCCGATTGCACAAGTAGGCAAACTGAGGAAAGTCCTGGGCCGCTGCATCGACAAACGGTTGAAGACGGGTTTTGATGAGCACGCTGAGCGCCTTGGCTGCCCCAGGCTGCAGCGCGATGGGCCTCAAATCGGATGGACCACGAACGACCCGGCCAGGTTTGGCAAGGAAATGAAGCCATGAGCCCGTGAGATCCGCCGAGTGTGAAATGGGCCCTGGTTTCCACGTATCCTGCAAGAAGGCATGAACATGCGGAGCAATAATAGGCGCAGCGAAGTGCCAAGCAGCACCGGGTGCCGTCCCCGGTTGAGTGGCCTTGCGGGGTGGGATCTTCAGTAAAGCCCGTTCGACTTCCTGCTCAGAGACCTCAATGCCATCAACAAGCTCCCATTTCCCGGGTGGAAGGGTAGGATGATCAAAGACGGGTTGCCAGTAATCATACAGAGCCTGAATCTCATCCTCAATAGTCATGAGATCGCCCTCTTGCGTACGCAACTGAACTCGCCCGGGCTGTTGACGCGGAGCAAGTCGCTTAACAGTGGCATAGAAGTGGTGCGTCGCCCCTGATTTGAGAGCCGATTCTGCCTCAGCCAACTGACTGTCCCATCGCGCCCGCCGCTGTTGCACGCTGGTGCGCTGCAATGCTCGAACTTGCTTGTTGAAAGAATGAGTGGCACGCCATAGACCAAAGATCCCACGGAGGCAGTGGTCCGCAACCGAACCCGAATAAGAGACGGGTAGAGGTGCTCCCTCGTCCGAGGCGGGAGGCAGAAGATGCAATAAAACGACACAGGCCCGCGCTGATCGCTGCTGTTGCCGCAACTGTGCCCGCTGCGTCCAGATACTCTTGAGAGAAAGTTGGACATCGGAAGATTGCCAAGGCTTGACATAATCCACCCGTTTCTTTGCAAAGAGCTCCTGAGATACATCTCGCAGAATGGCATCAACCTTGCATGGTGGAAGATAGTCTCGAGATTCTGTGGAACAGGTCTGGTTCAGCCTGCATTGTACTTCAGCGCAGAAGCGACCACGGTGTTCGTCAGAGTGTCGGAGACACTCAACCATGTGATCCCTGGACAGATGAAGCCTTTCAGCCTGCGGACCGCGCTTGCATTCTGCACGGGTGTCTGTGAAGAGCGCCGCCACGGGAACATGTCTGGCACCATTGCGCCAAGAGGCCAGATGTATATGCGGAAGCGCCTGAGCAGCCCGTCCAGTGCGACCTGCCTGACGTGTACGTGCCAACAAGAAATCGATCTGAGTGCCTTTGGTGCTCTGAGTTCCACCACTGTCATCAAGGTACGTAGCCTGCGGAGACCTCCAGGTGTTCAGCGCGGTTAGGCCATGATCAACCAATAGTGAAGCAAACCGGTCCGAGTCACGAGGGACGACCGTCGACTGCACCGTACCCGCACCGACATGAAACTCCGATGACGAAAGCGGGGTATTAAAGTCACCACCCGCGATGAACAGATGTCTGCCTGGAACGGAGGCAAAGGCCTTGTTGATGTGTTCCCATAAGCGTTCACGTTTCTCGTAGACAGCGGCCTGTTCGGAAACCTTAGCATGCTGGTAGATGCTGAAGATGGTGATGGGTTTGCGCCGTAAATGGTGAGTAGCGTCGGCAGCAAGCTGGACCTTCAACAAACGACCCTTGATGACCTCAGCAAAACGGATGCAACCTGCCGATGCGAGACTCTTGTTGATGAGCACCGCCACTCCCTGATGCTGTGATTTCAGGAGACCTGACTGCACCCAGTGCCACGCCGAACTAGTGAATTCTGAGGACGGTCTCCATGTTTCTTGCAGGCAGATGATGTGGACATGAGATACCACATTGTCAGAATGCAACCAAGTCTGAAACTCATCGAAGCCTGCTTTCGAGAAACCACCCAAATTCAAAGTCAAAACCGAAAGTTGACCCTTGCGGAGCGGCTGGACAAAAGACTCAAGCGGTGGGCCTGTTCGTGGGGGCCAAGGTGCAAGAATGCGTTCCATGAACCCCAGGTCCCGTGCCTGGCGCTTGCCCGGCGGCTTCGTAAAGTGATCCGGAGCGGAATAGGACTGTCCAGGCATTCCAATATCGGCATTGGTGACGAGCTTGCCTCGATAGGTCGTTTGCCCATTGGCCTGAGCTCGCTTGCGTGCGCGCTGAAGCGCCCGCTTGACTGAGTTGAAGTGAGATTCCTTCCATTTCCTGTGCCCATTGGCTAGCTTCGCTCCCGTGGTGTCCTGTTGTGGAACATGTCCGTGAGCTTCAGCAGGGCCGCCAATAATCCCTGCAACCCTCGCATCTTCCGTGGAGAAGTGTTGAAATAAAGTCGAGTAGAAGATCTCCTCATCCTCCCATGCACATGATTGCCGAAACAGCTGAGAAGAGGACTCCGGGTCAAAGTCATACTCATAATTGTCATAAAGCACCTGATCGGCACATTGCTCCCAAGGGAAGCAATCCAACAAATCAGGAGTACCGTCATGTTGTGAAATGTACTCAAAGACATCTTGAAGGCGACAATCTGGGTGCCCTGCTCGATCAGTGTCAGTCTGAGTGCACAACGGACGATTCAAGTGCATAGGACTCCACGGACCCGGGACTTGGGACCCGGGGGGGCACTGCTGGTCGAGAGCCATCTCGACCTATTGGTGAGGTGTAGAAGAGAAAGGCCGCCCGGCAGCGCGCTGCTGCAAAAAGGCGGCGAAAACCTGAGAGTTGCGGTGCTTGTGGTGCACGTGCAGAAGTTCCTGATGAAAATACTCTTGTGACTGCGCTGGAAGCAAACGAAGCAAGTTGGCGATTAACGCTCCCGGTAGAACTGCGTTAACCCGACCACGAAAAGCCAACAAAATATAGGTCTTGGCGTCCTGTGCTGGCCAACCCTGTTCCAGGAGATGCCGCAAATATGCCAATGCCCCTGCTCGCCGAATAGCCAGAAGATACTGCTCCGTAGTCCACGCCGACTGCTCGCTCTGTGGTCCGTTGCCGGAGATCGCTAATAGCCCTGATTCTGGCAGTGTATGCAAGGAAATAATCGCTGGCTGCGTCTGACTGGAGAGATCCTGCGATGTGACCTGATCGCAATACCCTTCGTAAGTATGCTCCTGGACGAAGATGGAGAAAGGACCCTGTTCCAGCTGAGAGTACGAAGGAAATCCAGACGACTGCTCCAAATGTGGGATATCCTGCTGTACGCCCTGTACCCTACACTCAGCCGATGGCAACACCTGACTTCCTGGCAATAAAGGACCCTGTTCCAGCTGAGAGTACGACGGAAATCCTGATGACTGAGCCTGATGTGGGACTGCTTGCGAGATGCCTGCACCCTGCAAAGAAGACGAAGAAGGCAACCGAGAACCCTGTTCTGACTGAGTAGTCGACAGAAATCCGGGTGGCTGTACCAGATGCGAGGGGCCCTGCAGTGTACCCAGTGCAAAGTCGTCCACTGGATATCCCTGTTCCAGCTGAGTCCACAAGCGCAAACCAGACTGTTGCAAGAGAAACCGAGAATCAGACCAGCTGTCCTGTACGGAAGTCGCAGAGGGACCGGGCTCCTGCAATGTTCCAGAGTCACGCAAACCTGCGTAGATCAAAGGCGCAGCTGAAGAAGCAGAATGAGGACCGCAATTCGAGGAGGCGGCAGGCTCAGGCGGCCCACAAAAATCCTCGTAGCAGGTGTTCCTCCCTTGCATCCACAGATCACTGTCGCAGTTTCCCAAAGTGAAAAAGTGTTAAAGAACGGGCTTCACTAAGGGTTCCTACCCACAAAGACTGTCGGACACTTTTGTTCCTGGGCACGGTGTGTCCTGGGGTCTCGAGCCTGCACGTCGCGTGTGCGTGACGGCTGTTCCTGTACATTAACTGTACTGCACTAGCTGTGTTACTGTTCCTGGCAGAATGTTTAACACCCCGCCTTCGGAGTTAGCGAAAGTTCCTCGACTGAGGTGACTCCGACTTTTCCTTGACAAACAGTAAACACGCTGCAGTTCCTTTTCACTTGCAAAACAAACACTGTTCCTCATCGCAAACGTATGCGCACGTTCACTCGCAATCCTCTCCAAGGTTGCTCGACTGTACAAAAGACGTTCCTGCACTTTACCTAGATCACCACAGAAACAAAAAGGGCTGTGCCACGGTTCCTGTGTCCTGCTGCTTCTTTCCTCGGCTCTCTGGCCTCAGTACTGCTCGCGGTTCCCTTTGCTTCACTGGAAGTTCACTTTGCCTTCCTCTTCGCTGTCTTTAGCTTCCTCTTGGTCGTGAAGCTGTTCCTTTAGCCACTCTTCTTTCATCTTTGCTTGCGC